CGGTTTCCGGTTCCGCCGCCCTCTTTCTCTTCAACGAGGTGGCGGAGCGGTTTGGTGGCGGCGGCCTTGCGGATTCGCGCCAGGTCGGGGTCGGGCGGTAGGCTGTGGGGGGCTGCGGGCGTTCGGGTAGCGGAGGAGGTGGCCCGGAACCCGTCCGCGCGGACCGGGTCCAGCAGGACGGCCGGGTCGGCTCAATTGGGCGCGTGGCGCCGGGGTTCCGAGCGGGACCGGGTCCCGGAATGCGAGCCGGCTTTTGGGAGAGGGTCCTGTGTGCTCCGCCAGCCCAAGCTGTCCCACAAGACCTGGGGGCGTGGATGGTCTTCCTGGACAAATCCTTTAATGGAGAAGTGGTATGAAATGTATAGCTTTTTTTCCGTGCCATGTAGTGTGCCAATCGTCTTAGAATCATTAAATCTTCTTCCCCCTACAAGGTTTTTTCCTACTTTTTTCTTCTTCTTTTTACCTGCCTTATTTAATACATCCGTAAGGAGAGAGTGGTAGCGCCCACCTTCTAGGGTTTTTTGTGGGGGGGGGGGGTGAGGGAGGACGATGGAATTATGTGTAAACAAGTACCTGGCACGTGGTTGGCAGATACTGTTTATGGGTTGGAGCAGACGCAGGAAACGTGGTCTGGCGAGTTTGGCTATAAACTGGGAAGGAAGCCAGGGTGTTGGGTGTCTGAGCGTGGAGTTGGAGAGAACTGCAAGGCAGGAAAGTGTTGGAGGGGTGGCTACTAAAATGGAATTCCCAATCAGGTTGCAGGAAGAGTTGCTTGTGGAGCAAATGTGGCTTAAGAGGGGTAGGGAGGGGAGGATGGGGAGATCCCATCTCCAGACCACACCCCAGAAGAAAAGCCATAAAAGCAAAATAGTGCCCACCGCCGGGTACTTCTCATTCCATCATCAAAGTTGACAGAATCTCATTTGCTAGGCCCAAGAAGCATAACCACAGTCCTTGTTCCCATGAAGCACACTTTGCCACAGGGGCCCTGGGGTAAGGTGGAGGAAGCGTGATCCTTGATTATAGGACAAGTTTGGGCTGCAGGCTTAGAGGGGTGGAAGTAAACAGGCCCTGGGGTGAGCCTGTAGTTGTGCTTGATGCTGGCACAGGGGCTGGTGGGGCCAAGGCTTGCCAGCCTCTGAGCTCAAGCTCCTCACACCTGCAGTTCTCACCCTTCCATTTCTACTTCCTACCCTTCAGCAGACGCAGAGATGCAGATCTTCGTGAAGACCCTGACGGGCAAGACCATCACCCTCGAGGTTGAGCCCAGTGACACCATTGAGAATGTCAAAGCCAAAATCCAAGACAAGGAGGGTGAGTTGGGCTGAGTCCAGAGGCTATCCCGCGGGAGTCCCCAGCCCAGAGGAGCCATTGTCATGTGCAAGATGGGTTGTCTAGACCTCAGCCTTGGCCAGGACTTGTCCTGTGTGAGCTTGGGAAGGCAGCTTGTTCTCTTTATCTTAGTTTCCCTTTTGACAGATTGGGGGTAATGTCAGAGCATCCCTGTGGAGAACAGAGAAGCTGCCAATAAAATGCTTGCCAGAGCCTCAGTAACTGAGCTTTCTTTTCTCCAGGCATCCCCCCTGACCAGCAGCGTCTGATTTTTGCGGGCAAACAGCTGGAAGATGGCCGCACTCTGTCAGATTACAATATCCAGAAAGGTACTAAGGGTAGGGTGGCTGGACAGGGCCCAGGAGGTCTAGGACCCAGGATCAAGCTTTGATGGCCTCGTTGGCAACACTGGGGGGTAGGGGAGGGCGGTGGCTCTCTTAAGGTGAGGATCAGATGGGGCTGATGAATTTTACTTTTATGAAATAGTTTTCATTGGATGCAAGATTTTAACTCCACTTCATTTTCCAAGTGGCAGTGGTTTCTCATGTTCTTGCCTTTTTTTTTTTTTTTTTTAAGACTTTTGTTTAAAAATGCGATAAAATGGTATCTGGCTGGCACATTCTGTAAAGCATGGGGCTCTTGATCTCAGGGTTGTGAGTTCAAGCCCCGTGTTCGGTGTAAACATTACTTAAAAATAAAATCTTAGGGATGCTTGGGTGGCTCAGTCAGTCAAGAGTCTGCCTTCAGCTTGGGTCACGATCCCAGAGTCCTGGGATCGAGTCTCCCATCAGGCATCTTGCTCAGTGGGGAGGCTGCTTCTCCTCTGCCTGCCCCTTTTTTTTGGTTGTTTGGTTTTTGAGGGGTAGGTTGTTTGTTTGCTTGTTAAGTTTATTTTGGGGCACTTGAGTGGCTCAGAAGGTTAAGCAACCGACTCTTTTTTTTCTTTAATTTTTTTTATTTGACAGAGAGATCACAAGGCAGAGAGGCAGGCAGAGAGAGGCGGGGGGAAGCAGGCTCCCAGCTGAGCAGAGAACCCGATGTGGGGCTCGATCCCAGGACCCTGGGATCATGACCCTAGCCGAAGGAAGAGGCTTAACCCACTGAGCCACCCAGGCGCCCCATAAGCAACCGACTCTTGATGTCAGCTGGGGTCATGAGCTCAGGGTCCTAGGATCCAGCCCTGAATCAGGCTCAGCAGGGAATCTGCTTGAGGTTCCTATCCTTTTTCCTCTGTCCTTTCCCCTGCTTGTGCTCTCTCTCTAAAATATTTTTTTTAAGATTATTTGTCAGAGAGCGCACAAGCAGGCAGAGTGGCAGGCAGAGGCAGAGAGAGAAGCGGGCTCCCCGCTGAGCAAGGAGCCCGATGTGGGACTCGAACCCCGGACTCTGGGATCATGACCCGAGTCCAAGGCAGCTGCTTAACCAACTGAGCCACCCAGGTGTCCCTAAAAAAAATTTTTTTTTTTAAAGAAAGATTTTAGGGCAGTTAATCTTAGGATTGGAATCAAGTCCAGCATGGGGCTCCTTGCTTGGTGGGAAGTCTGCTTCTCTCTCTGCCTGCTGCTCCCCTTGCTTGTGCTCATGTATGCATGCACATGCGTGCTCTCTCTTTCTCTGACAAACTCTTTTTTTAAAAAAGAAGTAAATTTAAAAAAATTATTTTTATTAGGAGTCACATGCTCTACTGACTAAGCCAGCCAGGCACCCCCTTGATATCCTCTTTTTTTTTTTTTTTTTTTTAAGATTTTATTTATTTGTCAGAGAGAGAGCATAGGCAGGCAGAGTGGCAGGCAGAGGCAGAGGGAGAAGCAGGCTCCCTGCAGAGCAAGGAGCTGGATGTGGGACTTGATTCCAAGATGCTGGGATCATGACCTGAGCCCAAGGCAGCTGCTTCACTGACTGAGCCACCCAGGCATCCCTTGATGTCCCTTTTTTTAGCAACTAGATTTAATTATTTTGCTCAGCAAAGTGAAAGATCATCTTTGCACCACTTAGAAGTAGCCTTGTTTGTCAGGAAACCCCGATGCACACTATAGTTGGCACGTGTTAGCCTCAGACTCCCCAAGGGCTAGTGGGAAGCAAGATGGAGGTTCTGTGGGCTGGTCCTTGCCAGTGTGTCCGTCTGTGTGTAGAATACCCCATCACATTTGAGGAGCTCTGTCTGGTCTGGGGGACCCTATGCTGTACCTGAGGTGCTGGGGCCAGGCTCAGTCATTGTCTCTTTTGAACCCGCCCGTAGAGTCCACCCTGCACTTGGTGCTTCGCCTCCGGGGTGGCATCATCGAGCCTTCGCTCCGCCAGCTGGCTCAGAAATACAACTGCGACAAGATGATCTGCCGCAAGTGTGTACCCTGGGGGGAGGGGCGGCCCTGGGGAGGAGGGCGTCGGGTTGGGCTGTGGCCTCACCATTCCCTCGTCTTGTGCAGGTGTTATGCTCGCCTGCACCCCCGCGCCGTCAACTGCCGCAAGAAGAAGTGCGGCCACACCAACAACCTGCGCCCCAAAAAGAAGGTTAAATAAGGCCCCTCCACCGGCTCTTCTTTTGCCCGCAAGGCGGCCTCCTGCCCGAGCCCCAAGGTCCTGGGGCCTCAATAAAGTTTCCCTTTCGTTGACTGGAGCAGTAACTGGTGTCTGCGTGGCTGGTCTGTCCAACGGGGAGCTGGTTGAGTTGTGGGCCTCTGCCTTGGGGACTCCCTGCCACTTGATTGTGTATAGCCCTTGAGCGTCCTGTGTCCTTTGGTTTTGGTCATCTCACTTGTATAATGCGCTGTGGTCTCAGCCCTCTGCCACATAGCCTGATGAGCCTGCACATCTGGGTTTTGTCATCTCTACATGGGACTAACCCCCAGCTCAGGCTCTCGAGGGACTGCAGGTCAGCCATGTCACTGGCTGGGCCCTCCGTAGGCACTTTGATGACGTTCATGCCTGTGCCCTGGAGGTGTCGCGGTGTGGGTAGGTAGACACCCCACCTTGTGTAAGACCTCTGGTCTCTGCTGAACCTGAGGAGCACCTGCACCCTACCTGACGCCTGTGACATCAGTCTTGGTGGGGTGGGCCTGGGTGATTCTAAAGTTTGTGCTGATGCTCTTGAGAATCAGGTGAGCTTTGTAGTCCCGGACTGGCCCTGGTAAGGCCAGCCTTTTATTCATCTCAGGGTGACTTGGACTTGGTGTCAGATGAGAACCCAGGACAGTGATACTGTAGTACTCCTGACACCCAGAGTGCCTGCTGAAGGCTGGTGTCTCAGTTTTTCCACAGGTCTCCCTGTCAGCTGCCCTCTGCCCCCCAGGATAGGCTGCCAACATCTTTCTGGTCTATTCCCACGTTTACCCCTGGAGAAAGAAGCTTCCCAAAGCTCAGATTACAGAGTGTACCCCCAGCAGAAGTCTCCAAGGCCTGCCTTGCACTTAAAATGAGACCTTGTAGGCCTTGCGCCTACCCCAGACTCTGGGCCTTTGCACAGGCCCTCTTCAGGTCATTTCTGAGGAAGGCACACAGTACCTGCCAAATTTGTTAAGCAGCTGGATTACCGCCTTTTGGGCTCTACAGTGTCAGAACCACTTCAAATCCAGTCACAGCCATGTTACCATGGAAGACAAAATGTCACTTCTGGGGTTTTGTTTTCTTTATTGGAGTGGGGACAGGATGTGAGGTTGACATGAAGTCGATGTTGGGATAAATGCATACAAGCTGAGGTATGCCCTTGCTTTACATTCGAGGGCAAACACGATGGAAAGAAATGCTCGCGCTCGACGGGAACAAGCAGGAGGATGGGTCAGGCCTAAGACGGCGGTCTTTGCTGCAGGTCTTCAGGTTTCCATTTTGGCTGGCCACCTGCTTGGGGTCGGAAGACCTCCAGGCCTGCAGGGGGCGCCTGGCGCAACGGAGCGCCCTGGTCCTGGGCGGGGAAGGGGCTGCGCAGTCATGATTACTGCCAAGGCCTCGGCGGACTCCGCTGTCCCGTCGGTGCCCGGTGCTGCGGTGGCTACCGGTGTCCCGGAGCGCGAGAAGCCAGCGTGGCCCTGGGTGAGCCCGGGCTCAAGCAGGAACAGGCGCGGGGTGGGCGGTACAGGCTTGTGGGGGCCGGCTTCATGCCCCAGCCATGCCCCCTGCTCCGTAGAAAGATGCCCCGATCCGGACGCTGGTGCAGCGCATCCACCAGTTGCAGGCTGAGCGCGCGCAGGCCTTCCGCCGGCTGGAGGAGTAAGTGCGGGCGCAGGGGCGGGCAGGGGTCGCAGAGTGCAGCCCCCGACCGGCTCCGGGGATGGGCGTGCGCGGGGGCGGAGCTGGATCCCCCTGCGTCTGCGTTGTCAGAGGTGGGGCGGGATTCGCTGGGGGACCAGATCTCTGCTTTCCTCCTCTGGAACTCAGGGCGCGGCCCCACTGTCTGGTGGACCACTGCGCGTGGCGTCTCTCCCTTCCCCAAGCGCAGGAGTGGGCCCATCTCCGGTTACCCTGCGGGAGTCAGAGAGCGTCCTCCACACTCTGGGGTCCAGGGACACTTGCTGGGGGCTTTCAGGTGGCCAGTGCGAGTGCAGGGCCTGGAGAGCCTGAGGGCGTAGCCTCAGGACCCCCACCTGCCGCAGAGGCCACCTCCAGTACCAGCGAAGCGGTCCGCCCTACGACTTCCCGCGCTACCGGAGCACGGTGCACGAGGTGACCCAGGCCTTCGCCGCCGCCTCGCGGGAGGTGCTGGCGGTGGAGGCCGAGCTGGCCGGGCCCAGAGGGCAGCCGCTGCTCGCGAGCCATGTGCGCAGCCTGCAACAGCTGGAGCAGACGCGCCTGGCCACGGTGAGGCCCCACCCCCAGGCCCGGTCTCCTGCACAGCGCCTGGTCTCTCACGGCCCACTGTGCGCCTCCGGCGCCCCAGACCCTACTTCTTTCTTTCCCACCTCAAAAACTCCACTAAGGTTTCACTTGGGATTCTCTGGCCCTGATCTCTCCAGTCCTTCTCCGGGTCATTCAAGTTTTGTTTAGTCCCAGGACGTGTCCACTTCATCTCAGCCCCTCCCGCAGCCCCCGCGTTTTGCGGGGAGGCCCAGTGCCCGCCCCCACTCCGCTCCTACCCCTTTGGCTGTCCCCACTGCTTCCGTTCTGGTTCTCAGCCCCCTGAAGTTTGGAGAGAGTGAATTTCCACCGCACACCCGGTCTTGAGTAACCCTGCCTCCCAGCCTAGGTTCTTGGGCCTGCCCCAATGCCCCGCCTACTCTGCCCTACAGCCAATCCTGGCCGAGACACACTGTGCCCAGACCAAACCCACGTGAGGCCACGCCCACATCGCCCTCCAAACTGGGATTTCCAGACCACGCTGCTTTAGGAGACTCCAATCCCAGTCTAGGTGTTCGGCCTACTTCCACCCTGCCTCATCCTGAGCAGACGAACGCCTACTCCACCCCTGCCCCCAATTCCTGGCTGAGCCTTCTCCGCTCTTCCCATGCCACGCCTTCCTGCGACCACACCCACGGGGCAGCACCCACACACTCTAGGGCCTGCCCACTGGGTCCTCCTCAGCAGCCCCTTTGAATCCCAGACTCCTCCCGTGCAAAGCATCTCCCCTTGAGACTCCGGGTCATAGCTCCCTTTCTGGGCGCTTCTGTGTCTCCCTTCCGAATCTGTGTGGGAGGGCCGGGGGAGGACCTCTGCCAGATTTGATGCCCTCCCTGTTGCCCATACCAGGTGGCTCTGCTGCAGCTGATGGGGGCACCAGAGCTGTCTGAGCAGGAGAATACTCTGGAGATGCGCCAGCTGAAGATGAAGTGAGCACTCCCTCCCAGTGGGCTGGTGGTGGTAGCTTTGTACATGTACCTTTAGGTACCCGTTCCTAGCTAGGGGTGTCCCCGAGCTGGCACAGTCATACTGGCTTGACCCTCTGGACCTGCACGCAGCCTTCAGGGTATGCACACCAGAGTCTGGGGGTACCAGACATACACACACATTGCCCCCAGGACCCGCACCCTGCAATTTCACACCAGACTCACTGTGCATTTCCGGGACACATTTGAGCCCCTCACACATGCCAGTCCCACTCCCATGGCTGGACTTAGAGCTTGGACATGGTTGCCTAGGCCCACCAGGCAGAGGCTGCACATTCCTGCCCCCAGCCCTGCTCCAGCGTGCACAAGTGCACTCCCACTTGCTATCTGCTCTGTGACACAACACAACCTTCGGATGGCACCCACCCAAGATGGCTTTTTCTCTCTGCCCACTCTCACCCACAGACCACCCCTCCTCCCCGGCATCCAAATGGTTCTCTTGGCCACTGGTGCTGCCTGGAACTTAGGCGGCAGGCAGGAGGGCCTGGGGCTTGCCACCGCCCCCTAGGAGCTGTGCAGTGGCGGCTAATTTGCTCCATCTGGGTTTTATTTATAGTTCCCATCCACTCTTGTAGGGTAATTAAAACCATGGAAGCGATCAGCGAGGTTCTTCAGGACCTTAGATTTGATGCCGAATCTGTCGAGTGATGGAGGCTCCCCAGGGACACGCCGAGGGATACAGAAAATGGGGTGAATGGCACCCAGCCCACCCCTGGACTGTCAGCTCGCTGGGGGTCACACGCCACCAGGTTGCTGACCGCCCTTGAGTTTGCTGTGACTCCCACAATAAAGGACCTTTCATTTCCAGCTGCTCCACTGTCTCTGTGTCCTGGGGTGCTGGGATGGGTGTCCCTGGGGAGGAGGCCCCACAAAGCCAGGGATGCCAGGTGAGAGGCCCCCCACCCCCCACTCCCAGTAGAAATGGCATTTTGAATCACACCCTCCAATGAGTTTAAAACCAGATCTTTCACATCCTGGAGAGTCTGAAATTCTGGGACCCAAAGATTCCAATGCCAGAGAGCCATTAGGATTCCTCATGCTTCCCCTGAACACCACAGCCCCGACCCTGGGCCAGTCCAGCCCCAGACAGCTTCACAATCAGGGCACCTAAACAGCTTGTTTATTTAAAAAGACTTTGGATGGGGTGGGGGGAGCAATGACCCCTCTTCACCCCCAGCCCTGGGAGGGGTCTGGGCAGCTTAGCCAACCCTCATACACACACCCACTGGAGTTGCACCCAAGAGTGGCCTCACATGGAGACCAAAGATGTTGTTACCCTCAGAATATCCACCCCAGCTCCTGCCGAGGGTGCTTGGGTGCCCTGAGGCGAGGGTACAGAGTTAGCCCCCAGTCTGGGTGCGGCCCCCGGGTCTCCATGCAGCAGGGAGGGTGGCCCCAGTCCCTAGAGCTTATCTGGCAGGACCTGCAGGCAGAGGGGAAGCCAAGCTAAGCAGGGAGTATAGGAGGGGCCAGTACCACAGAGCAATCTAGGAAGCCCCAGTTCAGGTCCTGGCCCCGTCACTTTCAGCTTGGGGACCTCGGGTAGGGTACTGCCCCCTCTCAGGGCCTCAGTTTCCCCCATTTGAGAAGTAGGAATAATTGTCCCAAGGGGTACCCTGTGGGTAAAGCTCTTGGCGCAGAGTGAGCATGCAGTAGGCACTCATAAGTGCTAACTGGGGCGAGTATGTTCATTCCTGAGGATTATATTCCACTTTGGACATTTTCAGGTGACAGATGCTTTTACTAGGCTGAAGGCCACAGGACCAGGCGATCACTGGGTGGTTAGGTAAACGCTGATAAATAGGAGAGGGAGGAAGGGATTCCATCTCAGCAACTCTAAGGCTGGGGTGGGGGGTGTGGCGGGCACGGCCTGTGGCCACTAGGAGGGGCCCTTGTCTCCCTCCCTGCCCACCCACCCAGTGGGGGTGGGCTCCCCTTACCTCTCGTCGTGCCCCGTCTGCCCGAGGGCAGGATCCCCTCGTCCTGTGCTTGGAAGGAAGGAGGCAGTGTCTGGGGGCTGCGGACCTCCCCCGCCCCCAATCCGATTCCCTCCCTGCTCCCACCACTCCATCCCTCGCCCGCCGGTCCCTCCTTCCTACCTGGTTGCGGGTCTTGTGTGTCTTCTGCATCCAGGCTCGCCACTGGTCGTAGAGGCGGAAGCTCAGGTTCGAGCAGTAGGCGTGCTTCTTGAGCCAGCCCAGGAACTGCTTGAGCTCGCGCCGCACCGGCCCCGAGCTCGGCTCGCCGCCCCTCGGCTCGCACGCCCCGCCGCCCGGGCCCGGGCGCTCTGATGGGGGAAGCGGTAGCGTCACAGCGCGCCCGCCAGAGGGCGCGCGAGGGCAGGAGAGGGAGGTTCTGCGGCTCCGCGGACGGTGTTTCCCTTGGGCACCTCCCTCCCGGGTGTCTCCGCGGGATCGGGTCCCCTCCACCGCCCAGCACAGCAGCCCAGCTGAGCCCAGGAGGAGGTGGGAGGCAGGGGAAGGAGGGGGCACTTCCCCCCTGTCTCCTGCAGGAACCTGATTCCCGTGGTCTGAACCAGGTGTGAGTGAAAGGGAGGGGAAGAAGGAGAGGAGCCAGGGCTAGAGGGATGAGACCCCGACACAGAGCAAAGGACTGAGAAAAGGCGCCACTAGTGAGGAAGAGCTTGAGAGAGAGAGAGGGAGAGAGAGAGAGATGAAAAGATGGATACAAGGTGAGACAGGGAGCTGTGGGGAGGGCCAAAGCAACAGGGGACAGCCAAGGAGATGTAGAGGGACAGAAAAGGGAGAGGTCGAGAGAGGGCTGCAGCAGGTAGAGACAGAGACCATGTGTGTGTAGGGACACAGAAACCCCAAAAGGCAAAAATACAGAGAGATACAGGGAAAGAGAATGACAGAGGGATGAAGGGAGACAGAGGAGGGGGGTGTGAGCCGTGAGGCAGTCCCCAGGACAGGCCTGAGAGCGCGAGCCAGTGGGGTGGGGAGTGGGCTGGGAGGTCCAGGTGGGAGGCCGGCCTGTCTGTCCAGCTGCCGGCCGCAGCCAGCCCCTAGCAGGCCGGCAGATAAGGACATCGACCTCACGTCATAAATAACGCCGGGAACCCGCTGACAGGCCCTGGCACGGCCACGGCCCCCACCGCCCCTGCTGGCCTCCCCCGGCCTCCCCAGCCTCTCCAGCGGACGCAGCCGCCTACTGGCTCGCGTGCAAGAATCGCAGGTGCTGGGCACGAGCAGGGGCCAAGGCGCAGGCCCCTCCCGGCCGCGCTAAATCCCGCCCACCCCCAGAACCTGGAGGGGCCCAGGATGGGGGCTGGGGAACTGGCTGGGAGCCTGGCTCTGCCCCTCCCTGGCTTTGGGATCCCCTCTGGGCCTCAGTTTCCCCATCAACCCACGAGCATGGGCCTGGACTTCCAGGAAACTGAATCCAGATCCCTGTGTGGCCCTGGGGGCTTGGCTGAACATCCTAGGGGCTCGATGTCCTCACCTGAGAAAAGGGATTCCCTTGGGGTGAAATCATGGGGGAGCAAGAGCTGGGAGGCTCAGTAACTACTACCTGCAAACACTTAGAAGGTGCCCACCGTGAGTGAACTTTCTTGGGTTGTCTCATCTACCCCTAACAATAGCCTGATGCGGGTATGATTATTATACCCACTTTCCCGATGGAAAAGCTGAGGTCAGATATTTCAATTAATGTATTTCATAACATTTCACAAAGGAGAGAATGGAGGATCATGGGCTTAGAGAAATCCCAGAAGGGAAGGGGTTCAATCAGACCCAGGCTCCTGGCTGTCCCCACTCCCCTACTTGGATCGAAGGGGAACCCAAGGGGCACCTGGGTGGCTCAGTGGGTTAAGCCTCTGCCTTCGGCTCAGGTCATGATCCCAGGGTCCTGGGATTGAGCCCCGCATTGGGCTCTCTGCTCAGCAGGGAGCCTGCTTCCTCCTCTCTCTCTGCCTGCCTCTCTGCCTACTTGTGATCTGTCTGTCAAATAAATAAAAATTTTTTTTAAAAAGAAAAAGAAAAAAAAAAAAGAAGGGGAACCCAAGACTCATTAGAGGGAGAGTTGGCAGCTGATCAGCCACAGAGGCAGAGGTCTCAAACTCACTTGCCTTTAGGGGCTAGGGAGGGGATACAGGTGGGTAAAATGGGCCAGGTGGGAAACTGGAAAATGAGACCCCTGAATGAGGAGGGCTGATAGGGGCCGTGGACACACTCCAGCTGTGTCCTGTTACATTTTCTTGCTTAAAGATTCTATTTTTAGGGATGCCTGGGTATCTCAGTGGGTTAAGAGTCTGCCTTTAGCTGAAGTCATGATCCCGGGGCCCTAGGAGAGAGGCCGGCATCGGGCTCCCTGCCCAGGGGGGAGTCTGTTCCTGCCTCTCCCTCTGGCCTCCCCTCCCAATTCGTGATCTCTCTGTCCCTCACTCTCTCTCTCAAATAAATAAAATCTTAAAAAAAAAAAAAAAGTTACATTTTTAAGCACTCTCTACACCGAACGTGGGGCTCGAACTCACAACCCTGAGATGAAGAGTCGCATGCTCTTCCGACTGAGCCAGCCAGGTGCACCGACACTTTCTAGATAATTCAATTTTCTAGGAAACCGAGGATATTTGTGTGAAAACTTCCTGATTTTGAATGTCTGCAAGTCGGTCAGACTTTTTTTTCCTTTTTCCAAATAACAGGTCAAAGAAAATGGACCTAAAGGCCACCAGTTTGAGACCCCTGCTCCCTCAGAGGAAACAAAGAAACAGAGGCTTTGGCTGCTTTGGGACGGGTCTCCCGACCACCCGGAGCTATGGGGGTGCTCACCACTACGAGGGGTGGAGGCGGCCGTGGGGTGGCTCCACTCACTCCAGATCCCTGCCTTCTTGGAGCCGTAGATCCCGAAGGGATTGCAACGCACCTGCACGAAGTAGACTGTGCCTGGCTTCAGGCCGGCCAGGCGGCACGAGGTCTGGTTGCTGACATCGTCCACCACCTGGTGGCCATGGCAGGGTCAGAGGCCAGAGGTGGGGGTGGGGGGTAGGGGAAGCGCGGGGTGGGGTGGGGACCAGGGGAGAGGGGGGTCGATTGTCAGGCACCTTCCAATCCACGCTGTCCTCTACTCGGTAGCGGATTTGGTACTTGGCTTGGAAGAGGAAGTCCTTGAGGGCTGGTGGGGAAACCCAGCGCACACTCAGCTGGTCCTCCAGGCCCCCGACACGGCTCACGTGCACATCGGGTGGGGGATCAGTGGTCACTGTGAGATGGGGCAGGGCAAGGCTTAATCAGCCAGCCGTCCTTGGACATGGCCATCCCCCACCTGGGTTCAGATCTCAGAGCACATGGCTTGTCGGGGGCACCTGCCTCCGTCCTGCCCTCTCTCCCCTCCCTGCTTCCAGACGGGTGGATTACATTAGATAATATTTGGGAAACACTCAGCACCTAGAAGCATTCAATTAATGTTAGCTGTTATCACCATTATTATCTATGACAAGAGAAATATAATCCTGTCTTCGGGGAACTACAGAAAAGCGGACACTGCCTGGCTGAAGACATTGTTCTTATTATGCCCAGGAGCCCAGGGGTCAGCAGGCTGCCAGACCCCTGGGAAGCTCCTCCTGACCCCCCACGGCCCACCTGCACTTCCAGATCCTTCCTACTTTGCAGAGGTTTTCAATATGACAGCCTTGCTGGTGCAGAGGAGAAACTGAGGCTCAGAACCTGCTCACTGCAGCTTCAGGGCTTGAGGAAGCAAAGCAGGAAGCAGACTGAGGTGGGGGGCGACTACCAGCCTTCTGGGGATCCTTCTGGGAGCTCTGTGGGCAGCACGGAGGTCTGGCCTCTCCCCCTGAGGCCTTAGTAAGGGTCTGAAAGGGTTAAGGCACAGGCCTGCTTGGGGCTGAGAAACACCCTAATTAGATTAGGCCCAATTCTGCTCGCAGATCATCTGTTTCCTGCCTCCCGCCTGCGCACCCCCCTCCCCAGCTCCAGGCTGAGGCTTCCTGGGGCGCCTCTGACCTGGGCGCCCCCTCCTAGCTCCCCCCGGGGCCCCCTCCTGCACACCTGGGCTGCCGAGGGGGAGAGAGCCAGGCCAGGTGTTCTCCACAGAGTGGGGGTATCCTGGCTGCTTCAGGGGACTGGGGACCTATGGGTGGATGCCTTGTTCCTCTCGGCCCCAACCAGCAGGGTCGGGGCTGGAGCTGCAGCCTAGAGCTGAGCTAGGAGAGGGGGTGCAGGATCCCTTGTGGGCCTAGTAGTTGGGGTCGGGGGCTCACCCACATCCAGGATGTCCAGCGTGAGCACATCGGAGCGGGCCGAGCCCAGCCGGTTGGTGGCCTCTACCCAGATCTCATAGGGGGTAAAGAGAGCCAGGTCCTTGGGGATATGACAGGAATGAGGTCCCACCGTGTGGTACTCCTCACACGTGTTGTCCTGCCCGTACCACCTGCAGGGCAGGAGGGGGTGTGAGGACACTCGGAGGTCCCCTCAGGCCCTCCAGACCTCCCCAGGGCAGCCCCAGAGTGCAGACAGGACACCAAGTTTGGAGAGCGTGGGCTTTAGCCAAGTCTAGAACACGTGTCACCCAAGGGCCTCCACCAACCTCAGCTTGTACTTGAGGGAGTAGTTGGTGTGGAGGAAGGTTTCCCCGTGGGCCCCCGGCGTCCAGCGGCATGTCAGGTCCTTCATGTTCTTGGACCAGCAACTGATGTTGAAGGGTTTCTCTGGGGGCACTGGGGAAGGGTGGGGGGGTGCAGGGGGCTGAGGGTCTGGACCAGCCCTCTATAGGTGGAGAAGTCGCTAGCCACCAGCTGGGCCCCCACCTTGGAGTGGAAGGAGGGTGAACAGAGCGGATGTTGGCATGACAGCCTGCCTGGGATCCCTTGGGGACAGGGGTGGGCGTTCTAGGCCCTCTCCCCACCCCAGCAGTCCCTACCTCTCCCCATCTGCGCCACCATGCCCACTGTTGGTTGTGGGCCACAAGGCCCATGGTCCATGCCCCTCTCCAGAGGGAGATGCCACCCACAAGAGTTACCCCTAGTTATCATGGGGGCCCACTTACAGCCAACATAGAGGCAGGAACCTGCCAGGATGCTGCCGTCACGAGCATGACACACGAGGTTGTCACCAGACTGCTGCCTGGATCCGTTGAGGTTGGCCAGGGCGAGGGCCAGGGTGGAGGTGTTGAGCACACGGGAGAGCTCGGGGGCTAGGCGGCGTCCGTTGAGGGTCCAGTAGAGGCCCTCGGCAGTGGCGCCTGGCGGGTCCCCATGCACTGAGCATGTGGCCTGCAGGGAGGAGCCGATGAGGAGCGTGGGGTCCTGGGGGCTGATGACAGCCATGTCTGGGGTCAGAGAGGAGGGCCTGTCAGGCCTGAGATGGAGTCACTCTGAGCCCCCCCCCCCACCCCTGCCACCACGGTACTAGGACCTCCAGGACCCATGGCACTTCTGCGCAGGAGCCTTTTCCTGTTGTCTCCCTCCCATTTTACAGATAAGGAGACTGAGGTTCAATTAGGGCACATGACCAGCCCAAGGTTGGTGGCAGAAGCAAGATTCAGCCCCAGAGCTGTGTGATCCCACAACTCAGGTCTTTCCAAGCTGCTTCTTCACAGATTTGCTCAAGGCTCTGGGAGTGGACACAGAACTCAGGCATAAATGTCCATCCAGATTCAAGGCAATCTGGCTTGGCACATAGTTCTGGCAACTATCACATTCTGCTTTTTTCTTTTCTTTTCTTTTGATTTCATTTTATTTTTGGCAATTAGAAAGAAAAGACTGGTATCCCTAGAACCTCACACATAGTCTTTGGGGGGAAAGATGCTTCGAAGAAGGAGTACTGTGACTCATACTAGAACCCTGCTTATTTTATGGATGAAAAAACTGAGGCTCTGAGAAATCATCTCTTGCCCAAAGTCACTCAGGAAAGGGCACACAATTTAAACCCTGATTTGGTGGTCTCCAGAATTCTGCTCTGTGCTGTTGCTGGAACTGAAGAAGGCTGGGGCAAACTCTAGGCCCCCAGTCCCCATCCAAAGGGACTTGGCATTGTTGTTCTTTCCTTCAACTCATTTTTCATAATCTGCAAAATGGGAACAAAAAAACCTCATGATCCCTAGAGCCTTTGTGAAGTTGAGATGGAAAGTGACTTCCTAAACAGGATTGTGTATGGACTGGGTGCTGGGCACGAGGCTCTCAGGGATGCCAAGGCTTCTCCTTCTGGAGGTTAGAACCTAAGAGGAGTCTGTTTTTATCCAAGGAGAAGTCAAGGTCCAGATAAGGGCAAGGGCTTTCACAGATACCTGTGCAAGATCCTGATACCCCTCTCTGAGCCTCAATCTCCCCATCTGGGAATTCGGCATCACGGTATCGACCACATGTTTGAGAGGAGTGAAAATGTCTTAAGGACAACCCTGTGGGACCATTAAGCCAGGCTGACCTGGGTTCAAGTGCCCCCAACTCACTGGAGACAGTTTGGCCCATTCATTTTATTTCTTTGAGCCTCTGGGAAGGGGCCTCTCCCTCCACCAAGAGCAACTGTGAGGACTCATTCACTCACTCTTTCATTCATTCATTCATTCATGCATCCATGCATGGAGCACCTACAGTTTGCCAGAAGCTGAGGGCACAATGGTGACCAAGATACTCAAATTTCCTGCCCTTGTAGGCCTTGAATCCAAGGGATCAACAGGAGAAAGAACAAATAAATATCTAAGAATAAATAAGGAAGAAAGTGAAGTACATGTTAGTGGTGGCAGCTCAATGGCCCAGGAGGCCTATATGGGGAGGCATTAGAGCTGAGACCTGAATAAAGTGAAAGAAATCACCAAGAAAATGTCTAGGAGAGAGTGACCAGGGGGGTGGGAGCAGCAAGTGCAAAGGTCCTGGGGCAGGAGTGGTGGGGAGTGAAGTCTAGGAGGTCAGTAGTGCCAGACAGGGCGGGGAGGGGTTATTCCAGAGTTCTGCACAGGGGATAATTTACATTTTAAAAGGATCCCCAGGCTGCCGTAAAAAGGGACTGGAGTGGGGGGAGGGGGGCAGCAGCGACAGCAGGAGGTAGCCCAACTTCTCCGAGATGGCAGCCAAGGACAGGGTCATCCTGGCCCCTTGGGAGGCACTCTGAGTGCTAGCGCCTGCCCTGTGCTGGCCCTCACAGCCCCAGATGGGCGAGATGGGGTCGACGCTGTTCTCCGGCCGGCCCTCACAATTTTCCGGGGCAAACTTGGCTTGAGGGCCATTTCTCGCTGGAGCCTGGGATCACAGTTGCGTTTGGGGCTTGGCCCAGGGCTCGCCGGAGGTCTCAGCGTCCGTGCGAAGGAGCCGACTGAGCGGGCCAGAGCCGAGGAGGCGGGGGCGGCCGGGGGGCGGGGGCCAGGGGGCCGCCCCGGAGGTCCCAGGCAGCCAGCCGCCCGCTAATTCGGAATTCCTTCGGCATGAACTCGGGCGTGCCAGCGTCTCTGCCCCGGCCCACCCACCGCTTCCTGCCTGGGCCCCCCCAGCAGGGTGGGAGGCACGGCCGGGCCTGCCTGGACCCCAGGCCCACTCTCAACCCTTTGGGGGTAGGTCACGCCCCTCCTGCCCCCCACCCACCAGCAGGGTCTAGCCAGGAAGGGGCTCTTTGGGGGGTCTTGGCTGGGGGGCACTGCCCCTCTGCCACACCCGCCTGGCCTGGGCTGGCGAGGATTGCCAGCCAGCAGCTGCAGCTGCCCTCCTGGGGCTGGGCGGGGAGGACAGGGCGAGAGGGCAAGGCCAGGCGGGCCTGGACAGGCCAGTCCCCCCCCCCCAACCCCAGGTTCCACCAGAAAAGGTCAGAAGGAGGACTTCTCCTGGGACCTTAGTGCCAATCCCAGCTGGAGCACCTGAGCCACTGGATTCCCCTCTCCTGTTCTCAGTTTCCTCCTCCATAAAATGGGAGGAAAATAAGTTCTACCTGTTGGGGAGATTAATGAGATGAGATAGCGATGTCCAGGACCCAGCACATTGCAAGTCCTAGGAACTATTAAGGTCACAGCCCCCCCCCAGCTCTGGGGTCCCAGCTGGCTCCCAACTCCCTTCAGGCCTCCCCAAACAATGGGCCAAGGCACCCAGGCGAAGCAGCTGGGAATAGCCCATAAGGTTTTGGGGGCCCTTGCCTGGTTTGGGGGGCCTCCTAGAAGGTTCCCCAAAGCAGATCCCTGAGCTAAGCTTTTGGACAGCCCCCACCCACCCACCCACCCCCTTGCTCCCTGCCTCCCTGCCTTTCACACAGAGCTGGGGCCTTTAAAAGTTTTTTCCTTCTCCCTTCACAATCTGGAGCCACTGCCGTTATTAAAAAGGAACACCATGTGTTTTAAAAGGGAAAAGTGTGAGATTCTCTGCAAGCAAGCAGGAGGGTGGCCTCCATCCCGGGGTCCCGACAGGGGTCCCATCTCCTGTCCCGCTGGTACCTGCAGATACTTTACGACCCACCCGCCTGCTGGTCAGGTGCTAAGACACACCGTAAGTAGAAACATATTGCTGAGGTGTGAGAATCTTTTATTTAATTTCTTCCCCCTTAAAGGAAAAAACACACACACAACAGTCCCCCCCAACCTCCACCACCTTTGCCTGCCGCTCCAGGAGCTGGGAAACAAAGCCGGCCACGGAGAGTAGCCTTTACAGGCGCTGCTCACTGCCTAATGGAGCTGCCAGGAACCCCAGGATGGCCTGGGGCATCCCCTCACCTGCCCAGGCGCCTGGGGTGTGCTGGGCTTTCAGCAAGTGCCCCCAGGAGGTGCCCGGACCCTGTCCTTTCTGGAGACGCACCACAGGAAGCTTGCAAACAGCTCTGTGCAGGGTGGGATGGCCTGGGGAGCAGTGTGTGCTGGCCCGAGTGGACCTAAGTGCCTGGATCGGGTGCGTGGAGTGATTGTGAACGTCTAGGGCAAGCTGTGCCTGTGTGTATACCCCTGTGTTGCCTCCCCCCGCGGAATGTATGTGACCACGAATGTGTGTGTGTCAGGGATGGAATGTGTGTGTGCGCGCCCCGATGGTGTGCGAATGTGCATCTGGGATGCAGTGTGCGCTCATCTGAGGGCGAGGGTGACGGGCCACAAGCCAGTGTGTCTTTGTGTGTCTCTGGGTGTGTCCCAGAGAGGGTCTGGATGTAGAAACGGTGTCCTAGAGGGGGTGTACTTTAGCTGGGGGGACAGAGAGTGCCGCGGGCCAGGAGCTCCTGACAGGCCAGTGTTCTCGGCCTGCGAGGCTGTGGGTTCCCGGTCCCCCTCCCTCCCACTAAGGCTGGGCCCGCGGTGCCCGGACTCGCTGGCTCCTGCTCCCTCTCACGCTCACCCACTCGCTCACAAAGATTTCTCTCGCTGGAGGCTCTCAGCCACGCGCAGCCCGGCCAGGAAGGGTCCCGAGCCCGCCGGTGGCTGGGACTCCGCGGACCCCCGCGCGCGGGGTCCCGCCAGGGGAGGGCGGCGGCGCCGGCCCGCGGAGAGGCGCGTCCCCGGGGACCCCGGGCCGCGCGCCAGGCGGCCAGAGCGGCCCCCCTCCCGCCGCCCCGCCTTCCTCGCGGGGCTCATCCCTCCACTGGTGGGGGGGCCCGCCCAGGGCCAGCACCCAACGCGCCTACCGCGTGCGCCCCTGCCCGGGAGCGGTGCCCCTCGGTCTCTACGGCTCGGAGTCCGCGGGAGCTGTTGCGTGCACCCGCCGCGTCGCAGAGTTCAGAAAGTCCCAGGCCGCGGCCCCCCGACCCCCCGGGTCAGGGCCGGGTATCCCCGGCCGGGCGGCCCAGGTAAGAAGGCCTAGGGCGCGGAAGCCGGACCCTCGGGACGGGGGACTGCGGCGTCGTGCGCCCCGCAGGTGAGGGCGCCCCGAGGGCCGCGCCGGGGGCGCCTTCCTTTGTTCCCGGGCCGTCCAGGTGGCGCCCGCGCCCCCTCCCCCCGCAGCTGCCCCCGGGGCGCACGCTCTCGGCCCAGGCGGGAAGAAGGGAACAGGACTCCGGGTACTCACGGGCTCCTGATCCGGCTCTCGGAGCCCCGAGGACGCAGAGTAGCAGTAAGGGCAGCAGCGGCGGCGGCCGCCGCGCGGATTGGGCGGGGGCCCGGGCGGCCGGCGGGCATGGGGCCGGCGCTGCCGGGGGCGCGCGGCAGGAGGCAGCGGGCGGCGGCTGCGGCGGCGCGGGGTGCGGGGCTGGAGGCCGGCGCGGGAGGGCGCGGGCTGGGCAGCCCGCACGTCGCTGGGCGCGGGCGCGGAGGCCGGAGCAAGTCTGAGCAGCCGAATTGACAAGGCGCTAATGCGCCGCTGGCCCCGCCCGGCCCCGCCCCCGGCCCGGCCCGGCCCCGGGGGGGCGGCGGGCCCCGCACCGGCCTCCCCGCCGCCCGCCCGCCCGCCCGCCCGCGGGCACCGCGCGCCCCACCCGTCCGGCCTCCGCCCCGCCGCGCACCGCGCGCGCCCTGTCCCGCGGCCCGGAAGCCCCCACTCAGCCCCTGCCAGCCTGAGAACTCTCTTTCCAACCCAGCCAGCTCCAGGCTCCCCACCCCCAATCTGAGACCTGGCGCCCCCAATCCCGTTTCCATACCCCTACCCACTTCCCTGCACCCCTGCTTTCAGCCCTGTGCCCCTTAAGTGTCTCCTGCGGCCCCCGGCCTTGGCCCGCTCCCTCCCCCCATCCTGTCTCTGCCCCCACCCCAGCTTTTGGCCCCGCCCCCCCGAGTGGTCCCTGAGCCCCGCCTGCTCCCATTTCCAATCCCCCTTCTTTCCCAGGGGCCTGAGAGTCGCACACCCCCAGCCCCACACCCTGGACGCGCGGGTCCCACCGCTCTCTCGGCCCAGCGCCCCCCGCCTCCCATTTCATCCCGCCTTTCTTCGGTGATCTGCGCGCAGCCTCGGTCCCAGGCTTTGCTGGAGGGAAGACTGAGAAAAAGCTGGAAGGCAACGGAGTCCCGGGCCCTCGCCCGGGCTCAGCAGTCCCATTCACGCAGGACAGGGCTGAGGTTCCTCGGAGGGCTCCCGGGAACCTTAGGAGAGAGCTCCCGCGTGGTTAGACGGGGAGAAATGGGTCTCGGTGGGAGCGGGGACCGGGGTTTGCCCAGGTCCCGCCAGTGGGACGGGAAGGATTCTCAGGAGAGCCGTAAGGAACCCCCCCGACTCAGTGACACCCCTCCCCACGGAAACATCAGTTCAGCGGCCCGCGGGTGGGGTGCGCCACGCAGTGAGTAATCGCTCGGGCGGCCGCCGCCCGCCGGCTCCAGGTAACGCCGGCTGCCGGGAGCGACGCATAGTCTGTCTTCCCTTTTTTTTTTTTTTTTTTTTTTTTTCCTGCGCCGGGATCCTTCTCCGTGTTATTATTCTTGGCCACTGCTTGGGTTTCGGGACCCCTCCTGGCCCGAGCGCCTCACCCCCCACCGCCTTCCTCTCGGTCAGCACCCGATACGGCGCCCAAGATAGAAGGGCTCCCGGCCTTCAGGGTACCGGGCGCTTGAGACGAGATTTCCAGGGACGCCTCCAGCCCGGAGGTCTGAGTCTCAGCCCTGCCCCCAGCGGTGTGCCCAGAGAGAGGAAGGGCTCTAACTCCCCCTTACAGAGGGGTTCCCTTAGAGGCCTAGACCCTCTCTCCATATCCCTAACCAGCCAATGGGGTAAAAGTGTCTGAGGGTGACTCAGGAGCCCGCACCTTGTTTGGTCAAGGCTACCCTCCACCCCTCTTACTTGGATCCCCAGCTAGACCCCAGACTGTCAGAAAAAAAGAGGATTGGAGGACAGGAGGCTCTGCACACACTGGGGGCTCTGCATACCCACAATCTGGATTCTTAATGGGTTTTACGAGGGGGAGACTAAAGCCCTGGAGTGATACACTGCTCTTCACGGATGCAACCAGGACTCTCAGCCTCAGTTTTCTGCTCTGTACAATGGGCAGCTCCCAGCCAACCTAAGGTCTTCTGTGAGAAGATGCAATGCTACAGAAGGTGTCACATTCTAAGCCCTTGGCACAGCTCCCAGCACTGGGGGGGCATGTTCTCTTGGAGCAGGGGTGGTCCCCAGGCCTCGGTTTGTCACCTCTGAAAAACGGGGCCATAGCTCCATCTGCCAGGTGATGCAGAGGGTTAAGAGGCGGTGGCAGTTCTTAACTAGAATTGCGTTTCCAGGATACGCACACCCCCTCCCCCACAACCACTGCCCTGCGAAGTTTGACTCCCTCCCCGAGGACTTCAGGCTTCTTCTGGAGGGAAATCTTGATGTTTTCCCCCCCAATCTCTGCTCCTCCCCCAGTCACCCCCAGGTTTTGGGGAAAAAGCTCCCCCATCCACCCAGGTGCTCAGGCCAGAGACCTGGAGGCGTGCGTGACAACTCTCTCCTTCGCTCATCCCCCACGTCCAATCCATCAGCAAATCCTGTTGGCTCTGATTCCAAAACACATCCCCATTCTGAGATTCTGACCCCTTCTCTCCACCCTGTCCAGGTCCAGGCCCCACCATCTCCCTCTGGGATGGTGCCCGGCCTCCTCCTGGGCGTCCCCGGTGACCCTCCTGCCTTGTCTGCACGACAGGAAGAGGAAGCTTTTAAAAGAAGCAAAGCAGGTCTTCTCTGCCCCGCCACCCTATCCGCCCCTCCTCTCCTTTCCTCTCCTCCATTCTCCTTTTCCCTTTCCTCTCCCTCACTTCGCTCCAGCCACTGCAGCGCTGTTTCCCCAAACACACCAGGCTTGTTGCTATCACAGGGGCTTTGCAGATTTGCTGTTCCCTCTGCAGGATGCGCTTCCCCCAAATCTCCTCCCCGCCCTGCTTAGGACCTTCTCTTCCTTCAGGTCATGGGTCAAGTGACACCTCAGAGGGGCCCCCCACCCTTTCCAGGCACCCTTCATCCCCTTCTCCTTTTAAAATTGTCTTCGCAACACAGTTCTTTGAACATTGTCTTTGAACATTGTCATTCTCTTGAGACTTTTTTTCTTTAGAATGTGACTGCCCTGAGACCCATTAGGACCTCATGCTGGGCCCAGTGAGGGGCTCAACGAATAGTTGCAAAAATGGAAGGATGGAGAATTCTCAGTTCTTCCAAGTGGCAAGAAAACCCAGTCCTAGTGAATTGTGCTGCCTGGGGTCCCGGTAAGGCCCACGCCCCCTGACTTGCTCTGTGACCCAAGCTGGTAGCCATCCCTCTCTGGTCCTTACTCACAGAACGGTAAGGATCGTTTGCCCAGCTCTGCCCTGGAGCAGGTCCTCTCTCCCCTGGGTAACCTTCACTTCATACCTTTGACTTTAAGGAAAGAGATTTGACCCCCAGGTGCTTGCTTCCCTATCCACGGTGCTCCCAGAGGTTTAACCCCTTCCTTCCCAGTCCCACTGCCTTTTGCGCTGGAAGGGGAGCCAGCATTGACGGAACTTCTGGCAAATATTGACCCAAGTCCTTGAAGGTGGCTGGGAATGTACAGATCGAGAGAGGGCCCCACCTAGGATGGGGAAGGGCTCCTCCTTAGTCTGCACACTCTGCATCTAAGGATTAAGTTGAGGGCGAGCCTCTGGCCCTAGCTCCCTGTGTAACTGAAGGGCATTGAAGGGACCCTGGGGAGAAGGCAGTGGTGACAGCACCTTCAGTGGCCCATAGGAACCCAGAGCCCGTGGGAGGGGGTAGAGCACAGCACCGCCTCTCCCATGCTGAGACCTCCATGCTCAGGGCTCCTCAGTTTGGGATTAGCTGCCCGTGCTCCAGGCCTGTGTTCCCAGGAAGCGGGGCCAGTCAGGGTCCAGACCTGGACATGGGTTTGGGACAGCAGAACTTAGGTTCGGGACCTGGGTGCAGGAGAAGGTGGGGCTTCGTTATTTCTACCCTGGAGCTTTAGCCTGGATAACTGGGATGCCTAGGTTCAAAGCTTTGTGCACTGAACTTGAAAAATTCAGACCCCATAGGCAGTGGAGCTGGGGCCTCAGGAATGCCGCCTAGGTCTAGGTCAGGGCCCCTGCGCACCCGCCACGGAGGCCTGGGTTCCCTGCCCCTCGGCTTCCTGGAGAACCTCAGATGTCTGGGTTCTAGGAGGTGCCAGGTGCGGTGTGTGTGAAGGGGGTAGACAGCTGTGCCCCTTTCCCTCCACCACACCCCCCCCCCCCCGCCCCACTGTCAGCAAGCGCCGGCGCCACCGAGCCGTGCCTCCTCCTCAGCCTGTACCCGGCTTGAGGGTGGGGGTCAGCGGGGTCGTGGTGAGGGCGGCAAGGGACAAAGGGCGCTTGTCCGATGCCCGCCCTGACCTCGGCCGCCGCTTCCCGGACGCCCGGCCAGCCGCTGATTCACGCCCAGGCCGGCCGCAGCGCCCCGCGCCTGCCGCCCCCGGCCGGGCCGCCCCGGGGGGTAGGAAGTGGGGGGGGCGAGGGGCGGCGCCGAGTCAACTTTCCCTCTTAAGCCCCGAAGGAATGTCGGCGGATTTCCTGAAACCCGACCCCGGCCGCCCGCCGGCCCTCCCGCCCCTCACCTGGACCTGCTCCCTCGGGAACGGCAGGAGGGGCGCGGGGGCTCACCTGGGGGGCCAGGGTCAAGTCCTCCTTCCGCTCCCGCCCCCAGCGGCCTTGTAGAGCGGAAAGGGGGGTGGGTGGGCGGCAACCAAGCCCTCTCGCTCTCCTCTGGCAACCTAGGCCAGCGCTCCAACCTCTCCAGCCTCAGTTTCCCCTTCCGCAAGAGGATGCGGGGAGTCTTTCCTTCCTGTTGCGATTTAAGTGACGCCTCTTATGTCGAATGCCCCAACCTCCGCCCGCCTCTCTTTGCTTCTCTCTCTTGTATCCGGGCTCATCCCTTTTCCCACCCTGAGCCTCAGTTTCCTCATCTGTAAATTAGACAACGCTACCGGTACTTCCTTTTAGGTTGTTGCAAGAAAATACCTGGGAAGGGCTTTGTTTGGAATGAACGAAGTATAGTAATTGTGAAGACGCTTAAGCGCGCAGGGCTCTGAACTGACATGTGTGGGCTTGAATCCTAGCTCTGCTGAGGGGTCCTGGAGCCTAAGTTTCCCACCTGTGAAATGGGAGACAGCATTGGTCTTAACCAATAGCTATTTCCCAAGGCACAGGCCCTGACTCGCGGGAGGTTAGACGCCGGGTTCCCTCGCTTTCGCGAAAACCGCGGGCTGGAGGCCCTT